ACTAGAGCTCAAAATTTAAAAAAAATATTGTTAAAAACAGGGGGGTTGGTCTATTCCATGGCTTCTAGAGAAAATTAATGAGGGGTGTCACGCAGTATGACTATATAGGTCTTGTAGAGGAGAAACAGGCGCATCTTTTGCGCAAGGTACCGAAGGGCGCTATGTTCAAAAATCTGAAACTAGAGCTCAAACTTTTAAAAAAAAATTGTTAAAAACCGGGGGGGGGGTTGGTTGGTCTATTCAATGGCTTCTAGAGAAAAATAATGGGGAGTGTCACGGGGTATGATTATATAGGTCTTGAAAAGGAGAAACAGGCGCATCTTTTGCGCAAGGTATTGAAGGGCGCTATGTTCAAAAATCTGAAACTAGAGCTCAAAATTAAAAAAAAAAATTGTTAAAAACAGGGGTTGGCCTATTCCATGGCTTGTAGAGAAAAATAATGAGGGGTGTCACGGAGTATGACTATATAGGTCTTGTAGAGGAGAAACAGGCGCATCTTTTGCGCAAGGTATCGAAGGGCGCTATGTTCAAAAATCTGAAACTAGAGCTCAAAATTAAAAAAAAAAAAATGTTGAAAACAGGGGGGTTGGCCTATTCCATGGCTTGTAGAGAAAAATAATGAGGGGTGTCACGGGATCTGACTATTTAGGTGTTGTAGAGGAGAAACAGGCGCATCTTTTGCGCAAGGTATCGAAGGGCGCTATGTTCAAAAATCTTAAACTAGAGCTCAAAATTAAGAAAAAAATTGTTAAAAACAGGGGGGTTGGTCTATTCCATGGTTTATAGAGAAAAATAATGGGGGGTGTCACGGGGTATGACTATATAGGTCTTGTAGAGGAGAAAAAGGCGCATCTTTTGCGCAAGGTATCGAAGGGCGCTATGTTCAAAAATCTGAAACTAGAGCTCAAAATTAAAAAAAAAAATTGTTAAAAACAGAGGGTTGGTCTATTCCATGGCTTCTAGAGAAAAATAATGGGGGGTGTCATGGGGTATGACTATATAGGTCTTGTAGAGGAGAAACAGGCGCATCTTTTGCGCAAGGTATCGAAGGGCGCTATGTTCAAAAATCTGAAACTAGAGTTCAAAATTTGAAAAAAATATTGTTAAAAACAGGGGGGTTGGTCTATTCCATGGCTTCTAGAGAAAAATAATGAGGGGTGTCACGCAGAATGACTATATAGGTCTTGTAGAGGAGAAACAGGCGCATCTTTTGCGCAAGTACCGAAGGGTGCTATGTTCAAAAATCTGAAACTAGAGCTCAAAATTTAAAAAAAAAATTGTTAAAAACCGGGGGGGTTGGTCTATTCAATGGCTTCTAGAGAAAAATAATGGGGAGTGTCACGGGGTATCATTATATAGGTCTTGAAAAGCAGAAACAGGCGTATCTTTTGCGCAAGGTATTGAAGGGCGCTATGTTCAAAAATCTGAAACTAGAGCTCAAAATTAAAAAAAAAAAAATTGTTAAAAACAGGGGTTCGCCTATTCCATGGCTTCTAGAGAAAAATAATGGGGGGTGTCACGGGGTATGACTATATAGGTCTTGTAGAGGAGAAACAGGCGCATCTTTTGCGCAAGGTATCGAAGGGCACTATGTTCAAAAATCTGAAACTAGAGCTCAAAATTTTGAAAAAAAAATGTTAAAAACAGGGGTTGGCCTATTCCATGGCTTGTAGAGAAAAATAATGGGGGTGTCATGGGGTATGACTATATAGGTCTTGTAGGGGAGAAACAGGCGCATCTTTTGCGCAAGGTATCGAAGGGCGCTATGTTGAAAAATCTGAAACTAGTGCTCAAAATTTAAAAAAAAATTTGTTAAAAACCGGGGGGGGGGGGGGGGGGGGGGGGGGGGGGTCTATTCAATGGCTTCTAGAGAAAAATAATGGGGAGTGTCACGGGGTATGATTATATAGGTCTTGAAAAGGAGAAACAGGCGCATCTTTTGCGCAAGGTATTGAAGGGCGCTATGTTCAAAAATCTGAAACTAGAGCTCAAAATTAAGAAAAAAATTGTTAAAAACAGGGGGGTTGGTCTATTCCATGGCTTCTAGAGAAAAATAATGGGGGGTGTCACGGGGTATGACTATATAGGTCTTGTAGAGGAGAAACAGGCGCATCTTTTGCGCAAGGTATCGAAGGGCGCTATGTTCAAAAATCTGAATCTAGAGCTCAAAATTAAAAAAAAAAATTGTTAAAAACAGAGGGTTGGTCTATTCCATGGCTTCTAGAGAAAAATAATGGGGGGTGTCATGGGGTATGACTATATAGGTCTTGTAGAGGAGAAACAGGCGCATCTTTTGCGCAAGATATCGAAGGGCGCTATGTTCAAAAATCTGAAACTAGAGTTCAAAATTTAAAAAAAATATTGTTAAAAACAGGGGGGTTGGTCTATTCCATGGCTTCTAGAGAAAAATAATGAGGGGTGTCACGCAGAATGACTATATAGGTCTTGTAGAGTAGAAACAGGCGCATCTTTTGCGCAAGTACCGAAGGGTGCTATGTTCAAAAATCTGAAGCTAGAGCTCAAAATTTAAAAAAAAAATTGTTAAAAACCGGGGGGGTTGGTCTATTCAATGGCTTCTAGAGAAAAATAATGGGGAGTGTCACGGGGTATGATTATATAGGTCTTGAACAGGAGAAACAGGCGCATCTTTTGCGCAAGGTATTGAAGGGTGCTACGTTCAAAAATCTGAAACTATAGCTCAAAATTTTGAAAAACAAATGTTAAAAACAGGGAGGTTGGCCTTTTCCATGGCTTCTAGAGAAAAATAATGAGGGGTGTCAAGGGGTATGACTATATAGATCTTGTAGAAGAGAAACAGGCGCATCTTTTGCGCAAGGTATCGAAGGGCGCTATGTTCAAAAATCTGAAACTAGAGCTCAAAATTTAAAAAAAAAGTTGTTAAAAACAGGGGGTTGGTCTATTCCATGGCTTCTAGAGAAAAATAATGAGGGGTGTCACGGAGTATGACTATTTAGGTCTTGTAGAGGAGAAACAGGCGCATCTTTTGCGCAAGGTATCGAAGGGCGCTATGTTCAAAAATCTGAAACTAGAGCTCAAAATTAAAAAAAAACATTGTTAAAAACAGGGGGGTTGGTCTATTCCATGGCTTCTAGAGAAAAATAATGAGGGGTGTCACGGAGTATGACTATATAGGTCTTGTAGAGGAGAAACAGGCGCATCTTTTGCGCAAGGTATCGAAGGGCGCTATGTTCAAAAATCTGAAACTAGAGCTCAAGGGGTATGACTATATAGATCTTGTAGAAGAGAAACAGGCGCATTTTTTGCGCAAGGTATCGAAGGGTGTTATGTTCAAAAATCTGAAACTATAGCTCAAAATTTTGAAAAAAAAATTTTAAAAACAGGGGTTGGCCTATTTCATGGCTTGTAGAGAAAAATAATGAGGGGTGTCACGGAGTATGACTATATAGGTCTTGTAGAGTAGAAACAGGCGCATCTTTTGCGCAAGGTATCGAAGGGTGTTATGTTCAAAAATCTGAACCTATAGCTCAAAATTTTGAAAAAAAATTGTTAAAAACAGGGGGGTTGGTCTATTCCATGGCTTGTAGAGAAAAATAATGATGGGTGTCACGCAGTATGACTATATAGGTCTTGTAGAGGAGAAACAGGCGCATCTCTTGCACAAGGTACCGAAGGGCGCTATGTTCAAAAATCTGAAACTAGAGCTCAAAATTTAAAAAAAATATTGTTAAAAACAGGGGGGTTGGTCTATTCCATGGCTTCTAGAGAAAAATAATGAGGGGTGTCACGCAGTATGATTATATAGGTCTTGTAGAGGAGAAACAGGCGCATCTTTTGCACAAGGTACCGAAGGGCGCTATGTAAAAAAATCTGAAACTAGAGCTCAAAATTAAAAAAAAAAAATTGTTAAAAACCGGGGGGGATGGTCTATTCAATGGCTTCTAGAGAAAAATAATGGGGAGTGTCACGGGGTATGACTATATAGGTCTTGAAAAGGAGAAACAGGCGCATCTTTTGCGCAAGGTATTGAAGGGCGCTATGTTCAAAAATCTGAAACTAGAGCTCAAAATTAAAAAAAAAAAATTGTTAAAAACAGGGGGGTTGGTCTATTCCATGGCTTCTAGAGAAAAATAATGAGGGGTGTCACGCAGTATGACTATATAGGTCTTGTAGAGGAGAAACAGGCGCATCTTTTGCGCAAGGTACCGAAGGGTGCTTTGTTCAAAAATCTGAAACTAGAGCTCAAAATTAAAAAAAAAAATTGTTAAAAACCGGGGGGGTTGGTCTATTCAATGGCTTCTAGAGAAAAATAATGGGGAGTGTCACGGGGTATGACTATATAGGTCTTGAAAAGCAGAAACAGGCGCATCTTTTGCGCAAGGTATCGAAGGGCGTTATTTTCAAAAATCTGAAACTAGAGCTCAAAATTTTGAAAAACAAATGTTAAAAACATGGAGGTTGGCCTTTTCCATGGCTTCTAGAGAAAAATAATGAGGGGTGTCAAGGTTTATGACTATATAGATCTTGTAGAAGAGAAACAGGCGCATCTTTTGCGCAAGGTATCGAAGGGTGCTATGTTCAAAAATCTGAAACTATAGCTCAAAATTTTGAAAAAAAAATGTTAAAAACAGGGGTTGGCCTATTCCATGGCTTGTAGAGAAAAATAATGAGGGGTGTCACGGAGTATGACTATATAGGTCTTGTAGAGGAGAAACAGGCGCATCTTTTGCGCAAGGTATCGAAGGGCGCTATGTTCAAAAATCTGAAACTAGAGCTCAAAATTAAAAAAAAAAAACTGTTAAAAACAGGGGGGTTGGCCTATTCCATGGCTTCTAGAGAGAAATAATGAGGGGTGTCACGGAATGTGACTATATAGGTGTTGTAGAGGAGAAACAGGCGCATCTTTTGCCCAAAGTATCGAAGGGCGCTATGTTCAAAAATCTTAAACTAGAGCTTAAAATTAAAAAAAAAAATTGTTAAAAATAGGGGGTTGGTCTATTCCATGGTTTCTAGAGAAAATAATGGGCGGTGTCACGGGGTATGACTATATAGGTCTTGTAGAGGAGAAACAGGCGCATCTTTAGCGCAAGGTATCGAAGGGCGCTATGTTCAAAAATCTGAAACTAGAGCTCAAAATTTCAAAAAAAAATTGTTAAAAACAGGGGGGTTGGTCTATCGAGGGCGCTATGTTCAAAAATCTGAAACTAGAGCTCAAATTTAAAAAAAAAAATTGTTAAAAACAGGGGGGTTGGTCTATTCCATGGCTTCTAGAGAAAAATAATGAGGGGTGTCACGTGGTATGACTATATAGGTCTTGTAGAGGAGAAACAGGCGCATCTTTTGCGCAAGGTATCGAAGGGCGCTATGTTCAAAAATCTGAAACTAGAGCTCAAGAATTAAAAAAAAACAATTGTTAAAAACAGGGGGGTTGGTCTATTCCATGGCTTCTAGAGAATAATAATTAGTGGTGTCACGGGGTATGACTATATAGGTCTTGTAGAGGAAAAACAGGCGCATCTTTTGCGTAAGGTATCGAAGGGCGCTATGTTCAAAAATCTGAAACTAAAGCACAAAATTTTGAAAAAAAAGTCTTAAAAACAGGGAGGTTGGCCTATTCCATGGCTTCTAGAGAAAAATAATGAGGGGTGTCACGGGGTATGACTATATAGGTCTTGTAGAGGAGAAACAGGCACATCTTTTGCGCAAGGTATCGAAGGGCGCTATGTTCAAAAATCTGAAACTAGAGCTCAAAATTTAAAAAAGAATTGTTAAAAACAGGGGGGTTGGCCTTTTCCATGGCTTCTAGAGAAAAATAATGAGGGGTGTCACGGGGTATGACTATATAGATCTTGTAAAAAAGAAACAGGCGCATCTTTTGCGCAAGTTATCGACGGGGGATTTGTTCAAAAATCTGAAACTAGAGCTCAAAATTTAAAAAAAAAGTTGTTAAAAACAGGGGGTTGGTCTATTCCATGGCTTCTAGAGAAAAATAATGAGGGGTGACACTGGGTATGACTATATCGGTCTTGTAGAGGAGAAACAGGCGCATCTTTTGCGCAAGGTATCGAAGGGCGCTATGTTCAAATATCTGAAACTAGAGCTCAAGAATTAAAAAAAAAATTGTTAAAAACAGGGGGGTTGGCCTATTCCATGGCTTCTAGAGAAAAATAATGAGGGGTGTCACGGGGTATGACTATATAGGTCTTGTAGAGGAGAAACAGGCGCATCTTTTGCGCAAGGTATCGAAGGGCGCTATGTTCAAAAATCTGAAACTAGAGCTCAAAATTTAAAAAAAAAGTTGTTAAAAACAGGGGGTTGGTCTATTCCATGGCTTCTAGAGAAAAATAATGAGGGGTGTCACGGGGTATGACTATATAGGTTTTGTAGAGGAGAAACAGGCACATCTTTTGCGCAACGTATTGAAGGGCGCTATGTTCAAAAATCTGAAACTAGAGCTCAAAATTTAAAAAAAAATTGTTAAAAACAGGGGGGTTAGCCTATTCCATGGCTTCCAGAGAGAAAAAATGAGGGGTGTCACGGGGAATGACTATATAGGTCTCGTAGAGGAGGAACAGGCGCATCTTTTGCGCAAGGTATCGAAGGGCGCTATGTTCAAAAATCTGAAGCTAGAGCTCAAAATTTAGAAAAAAAATGTTATAAAACAGGGGGGTTGGCCTATTCCATGGCTTCCAGAGAGAAAAAATGAGGGGTGTCACGGGGTATGACTATATAGGTCTTGTAGAGGAGGAACAGGCGCATCTTTTGCGCAAGGTATCAAAGGGCGCTATGTTCAAAAATCTTAAACTAGAGCTCAAAATTTTGAAAAAAATGTTAAAAACAGGGGGGTTGGCCTATTCCATGGCTTGTAGAGAAAAATAATGAGGGGTGTCACGGGGTATGACTATATAGGTCTTGTAGAGGAGAAACAGGCGCATCTTTTGCGCAAGGTATCGAAGGGCGCTATGTTAAAAAATCTGAAACTAGGGTTCAAAAATTTAAAAAAAAAGGAAAAAACAGAGGGCGTTGGCCTATTGGTGTTATACCTCCATTGATTTTCTTTTTTTTTTTTTTTTAAATTTGCAGTTTTCAAAAAAATGTGGAGAATTTATCTTTGTTTCAAATTAAAAAATTAACATAACATTTCATTGCATATAAGAAAATAACTATCACTGTCAGTTTACCAATCAAATTTGCCCCTTATTTAACCTGTGTACAAGCTTTAGTAACCATGCAACCTCAAGTTTCCAAAATATTCTATAGAAACCCCAAATAAAACAATAATGATTCTTTGAAATACCCAAGATACATGTATATGTTTATGACCCAGAAATGTTTTACTGCAATAAAATGATGGATTAATTACCTACAACTGTCAAATTCAAGGGAATATTTTTTTCGACCTATTTTTGTATGCAACCGGATGTGACGTGCCATGATTTGGTGGTATTACACCTGAAGAAGACATTTTTATTTAATACACTGAAAGGGATTTTTTCATTTGTAATACTGTTTTTTCAAGCCTTCCTGTCATGTTTTGTCATAATCAGTTCAATAGTTGAGAAAAATCTAGTATAATGTACGACGACATCTTCAGCGATTCGTGCAAAATTTCTTCGAAAAATCCAAACCAAGCCGCATCATGATAGAATATAGTGTGGACCAATAATGATTAAATATTTATCTCATCTGCCTACAAACAGTTGAATTTGATACAAAAGATAACTTTAGGATGATAAATACCACTAATGGATCCTTTGTCTTCTTTATAAGGTCTCTTTTGGTCCATTTATACATGTCATTTCCTCAAAATTTCAACTTTTCAGGCCAATAAATAAAAATAATGAAGTAACTTTCACTCATTTATGATAGAAATGTTATAATAAATTACATTGAGTAATTGAAGTATTAAGCAGAATGAACAATCCATATAAAAGTTTACGGGAGGTTTTAATAAGTCCTTAAGTAAAACTTAAATTTACGCTGCGTTCCAGAGAGGGACATAAAAAGCTTCTCTATTAGTGAATAATTTGTTGGTACTGCTTTAAAAAATAATCACATTTACTTATAACTATATATTTATTAAAATATTTCTGAGAAAAAACTTTCTAATATAGCAGAATATAAGAAAAAAGGAGAAAAAGCTCCTCAAAACACCGTAAAGTGTGGCTTGTTCTGTTAACTAATATTCATGGTATGTTCCAATTCCAAGGAAATGTTCTCATAAAATATGTTTTGGAGACTCAATCCACTCAGAATATTTCATTATTTGTAATATTTCACTTGAATAGCAAGAAATTTTAACACATGAGAGTACTCACAAGGTCAAAGGTGCATATACAGCACCCCATATTAGGTGTAATACCACCATTGATTTTCCCCTATAAGTCTTTTTAAAATTTGCACTTTTCAAAAAATTGTGCAGAATTTATCTTTGTTTCAAATTAAAAAAATACTTGGCATGAGTAAAGTTTTATCCTGTCCAGTACTATAGAAAAAAATTCACATAAAATTTCGTTGCATATAAAAAAATAACTATAACTGCCAGTTAACCAATCAAATTTCCCCCCTTATATAACCTGTGTACAAGCTTTAGTAACCATGCAACCTCAAGTTTCCAAAATATTCTACAGAAACCCAAAATAAATAAAAAAAATGATGCTTTGAAATACCCAAGATACATGTATATGTTTATGACCCAGAAATGTTTTACTGCAATAAAATGATGGATTAATTACCTACAACTGTCAAATTCAAGGCAATATTTTTTCGACCTATTTTCGTATGCAACCGGATGTGACGTACCATGCATTAATTGGTGGTATTACACCTATTCAATGGCTTCTAGAGAAAAAAATAATGTGGAGTTTCACGGGGTATAGCTATATAGGTGTTGTAGAGGAGAAACAGGCGCATGGTTTGCGCAAGGTTTCGAGTTGCGCTTTGTCCAAAAACTGAAACTAGGGCTCGGAATTTCAAAAAAATTTGGGAAAAACAACTGGAATTTGCCTATTCCATAGCCTCTGGAAAAAATAATGAGGGATGTCGCGGGGTAAGACTATAAAGGTCTTGTAGAGGGCGCATAGTTTGCGCAAAGCTTCAAGAGGATCTATGTTTAATTATGTCGAAAGGAACTAAAACTTAGTGAGGAACAAAGCCAACTCAAATGTCAGACAAGAATGTGAAAATCGTAAAAAAGACATATCAGAGTCAGCAAAGAAGAATTTCTTGTCATATGAAGACAAAATGAAAATCCAAATTCCCCCATCCGAATTATATGATGAAAGAGATTGTAAAATGTGTAATGTAAGTACTGATAAAGAGAAGGCTGAACACTTGCTGAATTTTTTTCAAGGGTATTTCGAAAAAGAAAACGATGAAGATGAAAGAACTTTAGTGCGAAGGCCAGCTGGTATACAACCTAAAAATCTATATACTACTGTAAATTCAGAAATTATTGCGTGCATTTATTATTGCGATTTTTTCATTTTAGACTAAAATGCGATTTTAATTTTTGCGATATTGAGAATAAGATGTTTAATTCATATAAAAAAATTCAAAACGCGAGTTTAAATTATTGCGATTATAACCCTGACGCATTTTTCGCAATAATAAAAACATCGCAATAATTTCTGAATTTACAGTATTACAGACTTAATAGACAGTCTACTTTGTATTATTTTCAAAAGTCTATTTATATTAGAGGTTTTGTACCAGAATAAAACAAAATCGGCAAAGAGTACTGAGTTGTTAAAAAGATATGATAGTAAAACTACATACAGACCAGTTAACTTTATCATTGACAATCCAAGCGCCACATTCTTAAAGACGGTATAAGTACCCTCGTCCACGTGCGTGCATTGTCTGATATAAATAAATGTTTACTAGGCAAAAATAGAAACGTTACCCTGGTTTTTAATTAAAAGAAATTACATATATTAATTTATAATATTTTCAAGATTAAAACTAGTGACCTGAATGATTTATCTATCATTTACTAATTTGTTAAAAATTCGAAGACGACGTTACGTCATTTTCTGATTTTAAACAAATAAGCATTTTTTCAAACATTTACCTGTATCAAGATGGAATTGAGTTGTCCTTTTGGTCATTAAATGTGTCGAGCACTATTGTTAACAAAAGGTCGCATTAAAAAATTGAAAAAGTTACACGTAAGTCAATGCCACCTCTACGTCATAATAGAGATTTCCAATAAAATGACATACGTACCTAACTCGACGTACGCACGTAACGGGACCGGTTATTGCTAACCTATTAATTTTGTTAAATGCGCCATTCAAGTTTTAACTAAGTATTCCTAAACTATAAAGTCCATTCAGGATAAATTTTATCTATATCAAGTATTTCTAAGATGATGAAAAACGAAAGAAATCATGATTTTTATATATCACGTGATTATTGATATTCCCGCCAAAACTTCACTGTCATAAGACCACGTATATACACGTATCTTTACCTATCATACGATTGATTTGAGTTGTCTTTCATGGTTTTGACCATGACTTTGTTTTTCGATATACTTTGCAAATGAACCTCTGATTAAAAGTGGACGAGAATGCCAATTTATATACTTGTTACACTTTTACGACAACTATATTGCCACTTCAGTCTTTACAGTAATTTTCTTTTTAAAATGTACTTTTGATAAGTAAGGCT